TTCTCCTACCTGGGCTGCCCCTTGAGGGGCGCGATCTCTGCCCGGACGACACCGGCCCTGCGGGTCACATCCTTCCGGGGCACGGGCGACCCCCTGTGCGGCCGCGCTGCCTCCTGAGTCCTCACCACGCCAGACGCTAGGCTAGCTCCCCCGGGACGGCGAGCCGTGGCGGGGCGGGGACGGGGACGGGCCGGGGGCGGGACGGGGAGGGGCGGCGTCAGCGGGCGGGGTCCCCACTGCGCATAGCACTAGCGCCCTAGAGGTCGCCCTGCCCGGCCTCTCCACGCCCACCCCTCCCGAGTCCCGTTGCCAGGGCTCCCGGCCGGCCCGAAACTGCCGCGGGGCGGGGACGCTCGCCGGCGTAGTCCTGGCTCTGCCACCCGGTGGGGACTGAGCGGCGCCCGATCCAGGTGAACTTCCCCGGCCGGCCCGGGAGGCCCATGGGGCCTGGCACCGCTCCACTCGCTCCCATGGGCTTCGTGAACTTGGAGGAGTCGCTTCGGGTTTTGTCCCTCCCTTTCCTTTTCTCGGAAAAGGCTTGTGACAGCTCCGTGTAGCCGAGTGGGACAGCGTTGGGCCAGACAGGGTTGGACAGGGCTGATATCCGCGTGCTTTATTGTTATTGTGCGCCCGGATGAAAAAGCAGTTTACAAGCCCTATAATCCTGATACCAGGCTGAATACTCTTAAATTTAAGACCCAGTTACCCTGTAATTCCAGCTACTCCGGAGGTTGAGACAGGAAGATTGCAAGTTTGAGCCCTGGCTAGGCACTCAGGAGACAGTCTCAAAATACAAGTGTAAAAAGCCTGAGGATGTAGCTCGCTGGTAAGAGTGCACCAGAATGCTATCTCCAGTACCAAAACGAAACAAAAACAAACATAAGCAAACAAAACCCACTCACCCCCAAAGGCTCATCTTTCACACGAGAAATCACACCCAAAAAATGGGAAATGGCCAAGTTCGACCCTTCTAGGAGAGGGCCTGGCACAGGCAGGGAAGGGGAGGCTTCCCTTAATCAGTAGCCCAGCAGTCTGCAGCTTGAGACAGCCCTCCCCCTCCCAATCTGTGTGCCCAGAGAGCGACTGTCCCCCCTCTTTGCAGGACTTGACGGGCCCCCTCCAAGGGACGTCCTCCCGGCATGCACCGCCCCTTCCCCCAGCCTCCCTGCCGCCCCTGTGGGCGCTGGCTTCCCTACCACATCCCTCCCTGTGCCCCTCAGGTCGGGGCTGACCTTGGCAATTCTGCGATGGAGGAAAAGGGAAAGGTCGGAGCCGCAGGGCCCGAGCAGAGAAGCCCTCATGTGGCCTGGCATGGGACAGTTTCTGTGTTCCGTCTGCGTCGAGAGGCTTGGGGGGCGGGGGAGGGGGTGTCCCTCTGTCTGGGGCAGCAGGCTTGCGCCAGGCAGTGGTGTCGTGCTGTGTGAATTCCTCAGCTGTCCCTGTTCAGTCTTCCAAGGAAGTGGGTGTCACAGGCCAGGAGATCTGACCAGGTTGGTCATGACTGGAGCTCAGAGGCAAGGACCTGAGATTTTCAAGTTTCCAGCTGAGTCCCTTGTGTGGCCAGGATTGTGGACAACTGTCCCTTATGAGCTCTTACACTGACAACTGGACGGCTACTTCAACCCCTAACAGGTGGGCTTGGCTTTGCATCATAGGATCAACCAAAAGCCCTGTGCTGGTGAACAGAGATTTGTCTTACTGTTTCTGTACTGGAGCCTGTTAAGCAGTTGACAAACAAAAAGTGAAACTGATATGTGCAGTTATGTAGAAATAAAAATTAATTTTTCTCTTTTTTTTTTTTGAAATGGGGTTTTATTGTGTTGCCCAAGCTGGCCTCAAAATCCAGGGCTCCAGTGATCCTCCTGCCTCAGCCTCCCACATAGTAGCAACTACAGGTAGATGCCATAGCTTGGCTTTCCTTTTTCCAAAGCATTGACCCCCTCCCCAATCCTACACCAAGTGTCCTGCTAGACACAGTTCTCTGCAATGAGATGGGACTCTCAAATGCCTACCCAGTGATGAGATTTGAAGATCTCCCCTATTGTGACCGTTAATCTTAATTGTGCCAATTTAATTGGCTTAGAAGCCACCTGGGAGATTAAAGTACACACTGGGTATGTCTAGGTTGGTCAAAGAGGTATGACCTTGAGGACTATATCTGATCCCTGACCCCTTGCTCTCTGACACTGTTTCCCTGGTACGCTTCCCGAACTCCATGGACTGAGCACCTTTTCTCCACCAAGCTTTTCCACCGTGATGTTTCTGCCTTGGAGCCAGATAACCATGGACTGAATCCCCTGAAACCGTGAGCCAAATTAAACTTTTCCTCTTTTAAATTGTGGATGTTAATACCGTATAACCTTGAAGGTCTCACTTGGGTCCTTGAAGTCACCTCTTCCTTTATTCCCCCATTCTGAGCACTCTCCCTAACTCTATTCTGTGCTCTGTTTCCTTTGCTCCAGGCCACTGTCCTGCCCCCACCTAGGACTGCCCAGTCCCTGGGACTCTCTCTGGGGAGGATTCTCACCAATGTATGCTAAATAAAATCACACTAATCACACAATATGATCTGTGTTTGAAACATTCCCCATGGGCCATGGGGTCAGAGAAAATTTTTAAGGATTGTTCATCATAAACACAAACACTAGGCTTGAGAGCTTGAAAGGGGAAGCATTTCCACGCTTGTTTCCTTGCACCCCCAAAGCCAGTTTGGGGAACTTAAACCATAGAGTTCATATCCTAATCATGGGGTAGGGAAGAACATGTGGAAATGTTAAGCTGGTTTTCCTACTCAGACTCAGAGCAGCAGAGCTGACCAGAAGGTGTGAAGGAGAGGAACAGAGGGAAGTGGCTGGTGTTCATTAGATTCCAGACAGTCTCTGAGAGATGGCCCAGTCCCCCACTCTCCACCACCATCAAGCAAAACAAATCCTGGTTCTCCTCCCAAGGCAAGAGATTGATAAAGAATTCTGGAGGAGAGAAACACCACATGGCATCCCAGGAGAAACCCCTGGGTGTCCAGCATGACTTGAGCCAAGGATCAGTCATGGCAGCATTACTGCCTGAGCCTCACAACAACCAGCACTAATCAGAGGGTTCAGCAAAACAGCCAAGACCCTGCCAGAGCCCTCAAAGTAGAGGCTGGCAGGACAACCTGGAGCTTGGCAGACCCACGGTGACCTATGGAACAGCATACACCTATGGACCTCGAGAGACCAGGGAAGCCCTTGATCAACTCTGTCTCCTTCACCCTACCACACCCAAAGATGTCCAACTAGAACAAAAACAGGGAAAGAGTTCTGACCAAAACCAAGTCTTGAGCCAGTGGGAACAAAACCACTGTGAATCCAGGATACCTTTTCCATACGCAAATGGGAATTCACAAGCAAAGTTGACCTCAATTGTTGAGAAATAAAGAGTATTATGTTTGTGCACATGGGGCCTCTGTGATTCTGAACTTGCTACACCTATTGATGCTATTTATGGAACTGCCAGTAATCTCTCACGGAACCACAGCATAGATTTGAAACCACTGTCCCAGATGGACTTCCTTCTACAGCCCAATTTTTTCTGCTTCCCCTGCACATTTTCCACCTACTGATCGCCAAACCACCTCTCTTACCTGTGTCTTTCACAACCTCCTCACCCCCACTGCAACCACTTGGCTTTGATCAGCTCAACATCCTTGTTTCTAAGCAATTGTTCGTAGGTTTCTATGATCACCCTTCTGTTCAAATTCCTCTGATTTTGTAAGTTCTTTAACAAGCACAGAGCCATAAGTGAACTAGAGATAAGCGCTGATGAGAAAGAGTAACTTGCATCACAAGACTGTCAAGGCAATGTACCATTTCTTAACATCCTTTATAAAGGAAGAAAAAAGATGGACAGGCAAGTTTTTTTGTTCTATTAAAGCTTTAAATCTTCCTCAATGAAGACAAATGACCCCAAAATAGGCCTTTTGTGCCTGGTTTACATCACAAATTAACACAGAAACAGCACAGCAAGTTCCATCCAGAGGCAGACAGACTTGGTAACTTCCTAGCCCTGCTACACCTTACAGAGCCAGATGAGTGGCCTCTCTCCCTCTCTCTCCTTCTCCCTCTCTCTCTTTCTCTCTCACACACACACACACACACACACACACACCCACACACGGTCTGTCTTTTGTTGGATGATGACTTTAACACAAAAATTTTAAAGCACCCATAACCAAATGATCACCACCCAACAGGCACCCCTTCCCAGCTTCCCCATGCCATCCAAGAAGTGCCAGGTGAAACTTTTGTGCTCAGTCATGTGGCAGATGTGTGACAAGGCACACTGCTCTGTGAACTCATTTGTTAATATAGTACTCCTGCCCTTGTGATTCTAGATGGTTCCACCATCTTGGCTCCTCTGCAAGTTTCTGTAATGGTTCTCTCCATTTTATCACTCTTCCTTTTCCACAAGGACCTTCCAAAATCTAGACTTTCATGTTGGAGCCTTTCAACTTTGTGATCCCTTCTGAATACAACTGCCAATTTCTTCTAAGTGGTTTCCTTTTGAAATGATCACTGTAGTAAGAGACAGTTCCTCCAGCCATGAGAGTGCACCATCTTGAATGTCAGACCCATCAACTCCAGTCAGCAGTTGTCTCACTACATCTACATATGAAGCTCTGAATGAGAACCACCCAGCTGAGCCTCCATCAACCCACAAAGTCATAAACAACATTGTTGTTTTAAGTCGCAAAGTTTCATGGTCAATTGTAGCACAACAATAGTTATATAAAATATGATCACACTCAGGAATGTGTCCTGGTTCCCTATTGCACATACTGTGCCATACAAAGTAAACCTTACATGTCAAGTCACTCAGAATGGAAGCAGTACTCATCCTCTGAGTATTGTCCAATTACAGAGGGCTTCCTTCAGATTGTTCTTATGATGATCTCAATAGCAAACAGAAGAAAAGTGAGAGCTATGATATGGCCAAATAGATTTTGTTTTGTACTATTCTGAGTAAAAGAAGTAGCTCTACCTATATACTTAGGAAAATGCTAACCACCTGGATGATGAAATTTCTAATGTCATTCCAATGACTTACTAAGAAATAGTACAACCCATGAGCAGGAAGTGTCCGCTCTTAAAGGGCCTTGGAAGTGCAACAAGCAGACCATTTCTTCTATCAACAGAAGCACAAGAAAACTCCTGCCACTCAGGTATGCCACGCTTGTTGAATCATTTCCCTAATGCCCAAAGAGTATATTAACTCCCACCTGTTCCTCTTGTCTTTCTTCAAGATAGACCAGCTGACCACAACTCAGCACCAAGGAACTTCTGTCCGGCAATATTTACTATGACACATGACCACCCTGCCGCCCTGCTGAGGAGAGGTTGTGCAAATTCTCAGCCCTAGGCCCCAGCGTTGGAAGAGGGAGCCACAGTCTCACCGATTCTTGCTTTGCCTTGTGTACTCTCAAGTGTGAATCATTGCTTTCAGGGCCTGGGTGGAGCTGAGCTGTTCCTACTCTCGATTGCCAAGGAGCGCTGCTGCTAATGATCCAGAACCTCAGCTGGCATTGTCCTTGGAGGAGGCCAAGAACACTGAGTCCTGAGTTCTTCTGAGGGTAACAACAGTGGAAGTCCATCAGCTCAGCTCCTCAGTACTGACAGGAAAGACTCAGGATGTAGATTGGACCAGACTTTGGGCAGAACAAAGGGCATCCTGAATGTGACTTTGACATGGACTCTCAGGAAGGAGGTATCAGGATTCCCTCTCTTGTTCCTCTAAATCTGTGCCATCCAACATATCTAATCTCTAGAAACATCTGGCTATTTAAGTTATTTAAAATTAAATAAAATTTAAAATTCACTTCCTCGGATGTACTAACACATCTCCAGACCCCAAGAACCACACCTGGCTAAGGGCTCCCATCCTGAGTAAAGTAATCACAGGACCCTGGAGTGCTGTGAAATGCTGCTCTGGATATTACTGATTAAAGTCTAAATAATTCAGGGCCTCTGGGACAAAGACCTGTCTCTAGAAAGCTGGTCTTCATCAAAATTGACACGTTGTTTTAACTCTATAGCTGAAGAAGAATCTCCTGTACACACTTCTTCCTTCCTTTTGATCAACATTCAGTCCATCTTTCATTGCTCAGTTAAATTCTACCTGCTCAATTTCCTCTAGTTTAGGTACTCAACTTCTATATCATTATAGTTACTTCACATTCCTTCAAATAATTCTTTGTAAATATATAATTTCACATCTATATTTTAAATTTGCTAGTAAAAATAAAAGCAAGATCTTCAGAGAGCTGAACCTATGTATTTCAGGGGAATGGGAAATCTCTATTATTTGTTTTAAAACACAAGGATTCAACTAGATCAAAATCAAGAGTGTGAGAACCAGCTGCAGAGGAGGATGTAAAGGGCTCCTTATCTCATTACCTCAAACATCCTCTGCCCCAGCAGTGATTTCCAGTAGAGCCAAAGATGTGGCTGCCTGTCACAGGGTCATAAAATTGGCACTGCCTTTTGGTTAAAGGACTGAAGATATAATTACATTAGCAAATAAAATTGTGAAGTCTTATTATGCTCTATATTTCTGTCATTTCTTTTTGTTTATTCTCCATGTATGGTGCTTTCCCTCTTAATATGTCTCTAAGAGACTCTGAGAGCATCTCTGAGAGAAAAGGTGACCACAGAAAAGAAGTGCGGGTGCCCCAGGATCCAGGGTTTCCCCAGAATCCAGGGTACCTGCCCAGCACAGAAAAGCTTAAATGCTAAAAGCTGCCACCAGCTTTCTAGAAGCAGAGTTTCCTTCCTATGCTTCCTCAAGACAAGAAGAGGAGCTTTGTAGGAAAGCAGCAATGAGGAGGGAGTGAGGGCTTTTTCTGCTTTCTCCACTGTACGTGTCAGGCTGTAGGTACAGGTACCTCAAAGACCCAGCGAAAGCCAACAATCTGGGAGAGTCCCTAAAACAGACTTCACACAGGGAGTGCTGATGGGGAAGAATGGATAGAGGACAGAGGACACCCGCAAGGACGGTGCTGGCCACACTATGGGCTTGGGGACAGAGTGGTCTCTGCCATCACCACCTCCTTATGTACAGGTCTTGCATATGTTTTGTAGGTTATCTACCTATCTAAGTTTTAGACATTATTGATCTATTGCAAAAGTTCCTGCTTTTTCATTTCATTTGCTGAATGTACAGTATTAGTATAGTATAAAGATATACAATTAATTTTGTATGTTTATCTTGTAACCTCGCTTATTGGCTCTGTTAACCTTTGTATAAATTCCATAGGATTTTAGACACAGAACAACGTGTTAACTGCAAATACAGTTTCCTTTCTGATATAGGTGGCTTGTATCTCTTTTGCTTACCTTTTTTTTATCAGCTCACTTGTACAATATTGAATAGAAATAAGACAGTGAACACTCTTGACTTGCCCCTGGCTTTAGTGGGTATGGTTACATTTACAATGATGTTGGCTCTAGGTTTTTCTCAGGTACTCACTAGCAAGTTGAGGAAACTTCTTCCTATTCTTTATTTGCTGAGAGGTTTATCAGAAATCAATGCTGGATTTTGACAAATGTTTTTTCTGCATCTATTGAGATGGTCATGTGATTTTTAGTTTTATTAATATGGTGGTTTACACTTCTTGATTTTCCATGCTAAGACAATCTTACATTTTGGGAATAAGGCCAACCTAGTTACAATGTGTTTGCCTTTTTATATATTGTTGGATTTTATCTACAAGTATTCGATTTAGAATTCTTATGTCTGGGTTCATGAGGAATACTGGTCTGTACTTTTCTTGTTATGTCGTGTTTCCCCAAGAGTGAGATCTAACTAGAGATCAAAAATGTTAGCCCTGATCAGCCTGTCTTTGCCTTACTTGCCTTACTTGCCATTTCAGAGCCATGGAGCAAAAGGAGAGTGAGATATAATCTGCATGGCACTGGTTATTACCATGGAAACAACCAGCTATTAATTACACCTGAAGTTTATTTTCCAGTTAGGTCTTATTTTCGGGGAAACATGGTGTCTTATTTTATTTTGATGGCTAGGTGATGCTAGTCTCATACAACTGGGAAGATATCAGAAGTTGAGGAGGATTTACTTCTTTTCAGTTTTCTGAAACGGTTTGGGTAGAATTAATATTGGATTTTTTTTTTTAACCGGGGATTGAACTCAGCACCTTGCACTTGCGAGGCAGGCACTGGAACCACAGAGCTAAATCCCCGGCCTGATATTAGGTCTTTTGTAAGTACTTATTAGAATTCACCAGGGAAGTTATTTGGATGTGGAGTTTACTTTTAGGAAAAGTTAGACATAAGTATGTCTTTTTATACCTCCCATTTCTCTGGTTACCTTCTGGTGCACACAAAACACAGTTATAACAACTGTTTTAGTGCTGGTTCTAACATCTGCATCAGTCCTTGGTTCTGACTGATTGCTTTTCCTCCTCATTGCTTTCCTGCTACGTTACTCATCTGGTAATTTTCAGTTGGATGCCAAACACTGTGGATTATAGCTTGTTGGATGTGAGATGTTTTTCTGCTTTGGATACATCTGAGTTCTTGGAAATAGTTTGATTTGGTAGGGACTGGGGATCTTGCTTTTAAGACTCATCATTGAGTGAGACAACAGCAACATTTAGCCTAGGGCAAGTCTGGCTCCACTGCTGAAGCTTACAACTTCTGAGTCCTCCACCAAATGCCCAGGAATGATGTGATTCTCCAGTCTGGCCAGTGGGAAGAGGGATTATTCCTGGTCTCATCCCCTATTCCATCTGATGTGGTTCTTTCACTGAGCATAGTCGTTCTCTCTCAAGTGTGCATAGGTCAGTACTCTGCTGAATTCCTAAGCAGGACCCTCTGATGCTGTCTCCTTTCTTGTAAACTGCAGCTGCTCTGACCTTCCTGGCATCTTGCCTCCATCTCATCAATTCAGGATGTTCTATGAGCTGTGCCTGGGTCGCCCCTCCCTGTGCTCTGGCCTGGAAACTCCATCAGTGAACAGGAGCAATCGAGGGCTCATCCCTTTCTTTCTTGTCTCTCAAGGGTCATGGTCCTTTGGGACTGACTTCCAGTATCTTAGAAACCCTGGATTTGTGTATTTTGACTAGTTATTTGGCTGTTTCTGGTGATACAGTAAATCTAGGCCCTATTACCCTACCTTGGCAGGCAGCAGAAATCTGCTAACAGTTTCTTATAGCAGCGAACATGCCTGACATCCTTTATACTGGTCAAAAATACTTTCTTTTAATCCAGGTTGGAAACATTCTTAAAATCTTTATTAAACAACATAATCCACAATTAATCAATGTTAGTCAAAACCAAGGCTTTTGGGGAAAGAAGTACACTGTGAAAGATACCAGATAAGAGCAGCTGTGGGTCCACTGTTGGGTCCTAGAGGCAGAGGAACCAGTTAGGAGGCACCAGCCAGGAGGGAAATCTCCCTCGGCTCCCCTGGGAGTGGAAGGGAAAGAAGAGCTGTGAAGGAGTTGAGGAGAGAATAAAGAAGGAAGGAGAAAGGGAGCAAGGAAGATGTGTGCAGGCCAAAGAATCCAGTCTGCTGTCTCCAGGGCCACCAACCCCAAGAAATTTGAAGGAAAAATCATTCCCAATTGCCACTGGTTGAACATCAGAAGGGAGAAATTAAGAGGGAATTCTGAGAATATTCCAGAAATAGTACTAAAATTTTTAGTATGGCTCACAAGCCAAGATATAGAAATAATCTACGTGTTTGTTAACAGATGAAGACAATGTGATATATTTACATGATGGAATAATTATTCAACTATTTCAAGAGTAAAACACTGTCATTTTTAGCAACATGGGGTGAAACTGGAGGACATTACATTTGGTAAAATAAGCAAGGCACACAAAGACAAATGCCACATGTTCTCAATTGTATGTGGAAACCAAAAAATTTGATCTCATAGAACTAAGGAGAATAGTGGTTACCAGAGGCTGGGAAGAGTGGATGGGGTGGGGATGGAGAGAGGATGCTTCATGGGAACAAAAGTGCAGCTGGATAGAAAGAATAACTTCTAAAGTTCCTAGCATCATAGGGTAAATGTGACTGAAAACAATTCATTGTCTGTTTCCAAAAAAAAAAGCTAGTAGAGAGGATTCCAAATGTCCCTCACACTAAGAAATGACACACATCTGAGGTGCTGATCTGCCGCTCACCCTGATCTCAGCAACACACGCTGTACACCTACACCAAAATATCACACTCTAGCCCATAAGTGTTAAACTATAAAAATAAAATAAACTATAAAAAGTATTAAACTATAAAAATATTTTTTAACTATACAGGAAATTTCAAAGGCCCCAAGACCCTTTCAGAAGGTCCTTAAGGTCAAAACCACTTTCATATTAATTCAAAGACCATATGTGCCTTTTTCACACACTTTTCTCTCACATGTGTTCAGAGAGGTTTTCCAGAACCTACATGATGTATAGTATTTCAGAATTCAAATGTAGCAGAAGATGTGAAAATTCAACTGCCTCTTGGGATAAATATGAAAGAAATTTTCCAAACAATGTAAACTAATTTTGGCAACCTTCTAGCTTTTCTGTTTTTTAAAACATAATTATTTTATAAGAGAAATGTTATTTATATGAGTAGGTACAAGTTTATTTGTATTTTAATAGCCCATAACAATTTATTTTTTTAACTTCTGAGTTTTAATTTCTGATATATTTAATATTAGTTGAGCTAACCATACACACAAAGCTCATTAATATTCTCTATCATTTTTAAGAGTGTGAAATGTCCTTGGGCCAAAAGCCTGAGAACTTGTGTTCTCCACTCCATTTTCACAGCTCTAAAGAGCCACCGCACAGGTAATGGAAGCTCCTTCCCAGGGAAAAGACAAGGGACAAACCAAGAGGTGGGAAGGAACAGTTACCCTCCACCTCGGCTTCTTTCCCTACCACTCAGCCTTTGAAATGATGCTTCTCAGAACAGCAACCCACCTAGGGCTTAACCTAAGTCACCACTGAGATTTCCACTGCTGTTTTAGGCAGCGTGAGTCCCACCCTGAATTCTCCCAGGGTTGTATGGAGCCACCAGCACCACTTCCAGTTTACTCAGTCCCTGCTTTCTTAACTGTTCAGCTGATCTGTAACCAATAATTGACTGAAAATTAGAGGAAATGCACTAACTAGTGCACTAATTAGGAAGTACACTAATTAGAGGCACACTAGGTAGCTGACCATAAGTTGGACACCTTCGTATCACATCCCCCTCAAAGCTCAGCACACTGCAAGCAGTGTGCCTTCCTTGTTTAACAGATGGTAAATCACCCCAGAGAGCTACAGTCTTGCCCAGGACCCAGCAGAGTAGAAGGGTTGAATAGGGGCTGGGTGTCCTCTCCAAAGCTGGGGTCCTCTCCATTCCCATTCACACTGCTGCTTTCACTGAAGTGGGGTCACTATTTACAAAGTAAAAACACCCTCAAGTAGGTAGGAGCTGGAGGTTTGCTTCCTAGTGTTAGAGGAATCTTAGCAGGGTGGTTACTCATGTGCATGATGGGGCCTGACCTCTCCACACTGTACCCCAGCTTAGCCCCCAGCTCTA